AGATATTGTACCATCAGTGCGAAGTTGCTTAAAACGTTGGTAAATTATGTACAGAAAACTACGTCGATGTCAAACAGACGTATATCGAACTAACGGATGTAACGATTTTGGCAGAGGGGTACACAAAGTCCGTGATCAAGACTACCAGTTTTCCGACTGCCATTTTTGTGGAAACCTCAGTGGTTGAGAGGGTTAGATTCCTGACTAAGTGTGCTGCCGATGAGGTGACTGTGAAAGTGTGTGTTCGAATCCCTGATGGGACTCACCCGAACAAAAGTTCTAGAATTTGTACTTTACTGAGAAAGTGTAATCCCAAATATTACATGTGTTTATTTTAGTAGAAGTGCTACAACTACCTTCGGTTATATCAACTAAACTAGTGGTCCCTTTGAATTCGTCAAAACCCGTTTTTATTGCATTTCGATGACTGAGGGAGGACCTTTGATGGTTCATTTCTCTGTGCAGAGTTACCCGCCTTTGCAGATATACGATCCGATTGTTTCAAGATTTTTATGCCTACATTTTCCCCATTTGGTATCCTTGCACATTAGATCCGTGTCAAAGGTTACAGTGAAATCGTTGCTTGGTGCATTCTTGTGCGTTCCAGGATCTGGGTTCAATTCCCTACAAGGATCCAATATGTGGAGACCATGTTTGTTGTCTTGTCTTTAAATTGCAAAAATAGTTTAAGGACGGCGTAAAATCATACTCACTCATACACATAACACAGGCTGTGAAAGTGAAAAATGATGCAATAGTTCAAATCTACGTCAAACCAAGCCACATATCACAGAATTCGACCTTCAGTTAACGTACATAACTGCGATATTTACCTTTCTAAATGTCAAATATCACGACAGCCAGTGGAAGAATTCGAAAATTACAAGGGATTACTTTTTAGCGCGGCGGGGTACAATAAGTACGCAATTCCGTCCAACATACTCCGTAATGGCCGCCTAAGACGACAAGGAAAACAATGCCGTGAGTGATCTTCCGCTGTAATGTAGGTGCTCTCTCCATAACACAGCCAAATCACACTCCTACACACAGACGCTTTTGAAAAAAACTAATCATCGCTACATGCAATATTGGCGACAAGAAGCGAGTAATGAAACGACGAAGCACATCTCGCCACCGCCTTTGATGTCACGTGACTAAAGAAAGGGAGATAACTCGAAAACTTTAACTACGATTATTAGCCCTATCGAGTTTGCCTTCGGGCGATACGGATTTGGGTTCAAACATTTAAACATTATAACATCAAACTGGTAGTCTTGTGGTGAAGAGGAAATTGAAAACAACCAGGCTCGTGATGAGTAATATTCTCGTCCACAGTTGATGACTGCAACAGCAACAACGGCAAAGTAGTCGTGAAGCAAAACCCAGGTAACCATTGTCATCCCGTGCTGTAGCTTCAAAGCATCACGTGATACTCTGCATTTTTAATAAAGTACCTACTTTGTGTAAACAGTATTTTAATAGACTTTGATGGAAATTGCACACAGTCTTGGGAGGATAAAGGGATTTCATCAGGGAACGTTAGTCAAACGCAGAGAGACAAAACCTTTTGAATAATTAATATCGCCCCAGTTCGATTGTAATGTTGGGGTTTGAATATATTGGCTCTTTGCTTTTCTCAAGGGTATGTTGTCATTTTTTTTAAATGGACGATTGCCATAACGAAGCCACCGAAGGGCTGAATGAATTCCATCAATTTGCAGAGTCATTTGCCTTTATTATTCTTTTAAATTCTATTAAGGACACATTGACCAAAGTTGAGGTTCACAAGAGGCTTTCACAATGTACAAATGCTTAGGGGATCACCATATGATATTCTGGGAATGGGAGTCGGCAGGAGGAGCGTGGTCTAAGAATGTGTTTCGGATACTTATATGGGAGAAGTTTGTAATAACATATGTTCCGAGATACGTATTTTTACAAATTAACCTTGCAACAATGTATATTATTGTGGTGGATAATTTCCTATTCAGCATAATTGCATAATTATATATTTTTGAACGACAAAGTCTCAAAACATTCACCAACGGGGACTATCCATTAAGTGCGCTGCAGTGAAGAGATGATGATTATGACGATTGTCATGACGACAGCGACGACGCTGAAGATGACCGGAAGTGAAGAGATGATTATTATTACGATGACGATTGTGATGACGACGACGACGATGATGACGACAACGATGACGACGACGAAGATGCCAGGAAATGAAGAGTTGAGGGCGATGATTACGATGACGATTCTGACGACGACAGCTACGGCGAACGGCGATGATGATGTGCTGACGTGGAGGGATGGTGATGATGTTGATGATCATCATCATTTTTATTACAGGATATTTATATAGCGCAAGTATTCAAGGCGCTGGTATGTTTCCCTGGTATTTTTCATTGGACGTCAGTCTCAACGGCAACATCATGTTATCAATCTCAACTCCCTGGGGATGATGCAACTCTTGCAGCCACGAGGCGCGCCGAGTTATTGTGGCTTTGCCGTGATGATGATGATGATGATGATGATGATGATAAAAAATGATGATGACAACGACGATTGTGATGACGACGACGACGATGACGCTGAAAGAACAATCAAAATATCCATAAAAAGCATCCACACCAACTCTCAGCTCCCCGAGAGTTATCCATGCATGACAACAGCTCGTTCCTCCAAGTGCATTGCTCTTTTCCAACAATGCTACATGAATGTGGACCATTTAATTTACTACCGAACCGCCCGTCCGTCCCCAGGGACGCTTCTCTGCCAGTTGTACTATCTAACCGATACATGATAGCACTCGCAATCATAATTCTAACAATCAGTCACGTTGTGTTCCCCTGGAAAATAGGGGGATGTCACTAACAGAGGGAATGAAATATGTATGTCCTGTGGGTTTATCTGTTGTTCGTGTTCTCCGCTCGATATGACACATATCATTTATTTATTACTCAGCCTGAAGACGTCAGGCGAGTTTTTTCGCCTACTTGTTCTTGAGCGTCATATTCGTGGTTCAATCATTCTTTCGTAGCGGTTGGGTAGCCTAGTAGTTAAAGCGTTGGCTCGTCACTCCGAAAACCCGGGTTCGAATCCCCACATGGGTACAATGTGTGAAGCCCATTTCTGGTGTTCCCCGCTGTGATGCTGCTGGAATATTGCTAAAAGCGGCGTAAAACCAAACTCAGTCAGTCAGTCAGTCTTTCGTAGCCTTTAAGACCAGATCATGGGGCGGTGGGGTAGCCTAATGGTTAGAGCGTTCGCTCGTCACGCTGAAGAGCCTGGCTCGATTCCCCACATGGGTACAATGTGTGAAGCCCATTTGTGGTGTCCACCTCCGTGATATTGCTGGAATATTGCTTAAAGCGGCGTAAAATTAAACTCACTCAATCACTCACCTATTCGTGGTTTAATTATTCTTTCGTAGCCTTTAAGGCCAGATCATGGTGCAGTGGGGTAGCCTAGCGGTAAAAGTGTTCGCTCGTAACGCGGAAGACCCGGATCGAATGCGCACAATGTGTTAAGCCTATTTCTGATGTCCCCCGCCATGATATTGCTAGAATATTGCGAAATGCGGCGTTTTTTAAAAAACATACACTTTATTAGCCCTAATTAACTGTGCCGGTTTCCATTTGTCATTTGCCAATCACACGTCAACGCCATTGTTTAGCCTGCATCTTGATAGAATATTGCTAAAAACGGCGTAAAACCGTGTTCACTAAGTCACTCGCTCAAAATTATATATATTCAGAGACCAAGCGTTAGTCTAGTATAGTAGTGTCATGTATTTTCCATTGCTGAAGTGTGATATAAGCGTGGGTTGTAAAAGACAGATGCGCGCAAGTAAATATTTTATGATTGGAGCACCTGGAGATGTAGAAGTGCGCTTAGGGTGCAGCTGAAAGGTGATGATGGTTAATGGTTCATTAAAGACAGACGCCATTATCTAATGAGCAGGAAGATGAGGTGTGAGGCTAAATGGGAATAATTTGATGTACACGATTATTGCACGTCCATAGTGTTGTGCGAGTACTTGTACGTGTCTGTTTGTGTATGTTTGTGAGAGCCTGGGTTTTTTTGGTGCTTGCTTCTCGTTGTTCTTTGTGTGTTTGTGTCTATGTGTGTGTCTAAGCTTCTGTGCGTGGTTGTCTTTGTTGTGTAATTAAATGTGTGCGTGCGCGTTTACGTGTGTGTAAGCGGCGTGTGTGCGTACTTCTTTAGTGTGAGTGTAAGTTCGTCACGCCGAAGACCCGGATTCGATTCCCCCATGGGTACAATATGTGAAGTCCATTTCTTGTGTCCCCGCCGTGATGTTGCTGGAATATTGTTAAAAGCTCCGTAAAACTAAACTCACTCACTCTCAACAAGTAAAAGTCACAAGCAGAAGATTAATGTGGATTATGTATTAACGTCAAGTTAAAATGTTTATACAGCGTTACCATTTTAATGAAAACAAATATTATCCATCGGCCATTTGTTAAATCTTCTCACTGTCAACTGATTCATTCGCCAGCAACTTCAGACGACATTGCGTAACCGCTGTTATATAACTAAAAAACATTGACGTTTCAGAAGAAAACGAGGCTATATTTTCCCAGTATTGAGATCTTCCTCCGCCTACGCTCTACCGTTATGAAACGGAGTGTGCGTGATAACGGTTAAATAATTTAACCATAAAATAGCGATATAAGTAAACGTTAAAAGCAGGAATTGTTCGCGGATACAGTTCAAGGAAGATTATAGGTTGATCAAAATCTTACTTCACTGCCTCCAATGCTGAATGAATGTTGATCCTGTAATTTCATCGATATATCGACAGCATCGAATTGTCTCGTTGCGTTTGACATATATATCGAGCTATGTGTTTTGACCTTTGGCTAAATGAGGCAAGGAGACAAAGCAGGTATTGATCAATACGATCGATTGGACAAAACAACAACAACTGGCTGAACTGAAGGGTTCGGGGAAACGTTACAACAGCTCACAAGAGAGTGGGAGATCGCTCGTTACAGCGGTGGAACATTTGGACTCGGTTCAAAGCTTCATTGAGCATTAAGAGCCTTGCAATGTTTGGTGTTTCAACTTTGAGTACAGTGTAAAGAACGCCTTGATTTCAGAAGCGTTGTTGTTGAACATGCGGTAAATTGGCTTTGATGCAGTGTTTGTATGCACTGACCCCTTTCATTCAAACGGGAACAGACCAGGTGTGAAGAACTGCTGTCTAACGGGATCCACGAAGACACGATTCACGTGAGTACATTGTTCTACGTTCAATTCCTTTATCAACGTGTTTGAAATATATTTCAAAGGATTTGTTTTCCGTGACGCATTAATATTGATAATGTATGGTTTCTTTGTATGTAGACAAATAGTACGGTGTTGAGCTTGAATGTGTTGTGTGTTGAATAGTGGACGTTTATATGACATTAAAATAATTCATAAACATGCTTAAATCTGATGTGTGTTTAACAAATCACAAATCGTTTCAAATGTGCCGGAAATATACATAATAGAGTGTGTTAATCTCGCTTTCAGTCCTCGCAGGTAAATGGTATCGCCAATGAACTACAGTGCCAAGAGACATATTAAATTGTCACTTTGTTGGCTTTCTGTGGTATCCTTAAAGTATTGTTTCTATAAAGTGTTCTAATAAACCGGAACAAAAAATATCATATTCAACACCGTCGACCAGTTTGTAGTGTACCGAATGGATTCATAATTTATCGCTATTTACATTCTACAGTTTACCCAGATAGAAACATTTTTGACATGTTTGTGTCGAACTACGCACAACGCGACATCATATCGCGGCCTGTGACTTTGGAGTTTTACCTCCAGAGATATCTTTTATCCATAGTAGAATATTGAATGTCAATCTGTATTGCCTAGCAGTACCAAATTCCATTAGTCCCTCAGCAACACCTCACAGGCGTTTGTGTGTTTATTTCAGTATTGTTTTACACAACACTGAACTCGTGCTTTAGCCTGAGAATATTCGAAACTGGACCCGACAAATGTGAGGACTTTTAATGGCATTTAGAAGGGATACACATAAGGAAGAGAGATTTCTGATGTCAACTTGTTTATATTGAGGAACGCAACGTTTCGGAATATATCGTTACTTCATCAGCTGAATGAATGGTATGAGACAGATAGCATAAGGGGGCGCGGTGGGCGAGCCGGCAAAGGCAGCAGGCTAGTGATCCAGCGAGGTTGAGGTGTCGGGATCGAGCCGGGTGTAAAAACCCTTGAGTCATCTTTGTGTGCAGACTCTTTCAGTGTTGTCACAACCCCTAGTGTATAGTACACAACCCTGTGCACTTAGAAGAACCCACGAATCCGTTGGTAAATGACCATATGATGGCCACATGAATACGTGCTAACACCTAGTTGCGGGTACAGCAACGTGCAGTCAACTTGGACAAAGTGCGTTGATGTGTGATTGGCAAAGGACAAATATTAATGGGCGCCAACACTTAACAGTAAATTAGCGCCAATCAGCTGTTTAGTGTTGGTATCCATTCAGCGCTAATAACTGGGGACACCAGAAATGGGAATCGAACTCGGGTCTCAGTCATGACCAGCGAACACTTTAACCACTAGGCTAACCCACCGCCCCTTTATTTAAGGAATGAAATGATAGGTGGTTTATCTATTATCCGGCTTTTGGACGTGTCTGGGGTTCGTTTATGTTGGTGTAATGTGGCGGAATGTAAAACGTTCTAAGGGGTTTCATGTAGTTGGTTCTATGACGCGTTTATGAAGGTGGTGAAGTTGCAGACGTCTCTTTGACATGGCTATGTTGGCTGTACTCAAGCGCGTTTCTGAAAACGGCTCTAAGGCGCGTCGATGTTGGCGACTCTAAGGAGCTCCTTTGCAGGGCGGCTGTGAGGCACTTTTCTGTATACAGCTTTAAGGCGCTCGTTTGTAGGCGGCTGTGAGGCACGTTTCTGTATACAGCTCTAAGGCGCTCGAAGGAGCTCGTTTGTAGGCGGCTGTGAGGCACGTTTCTGTATACAGCTCTAAGTTGTTCTTTCTTCACTTTATTTCTTTTTTTGCACTGGTACAGTTACATCACTTATACACAACACTATTCAAATATATAGCACAATGAAAACAATCATAATATGTGAGATCGGATAGGTTATGTAAATACGTTGTGGCATGATGACAAGAAAGTCGTGACCTTGCTGTATTTGCATAAAGGAGTTCAAAATTCAATTCAAATTCAGAATTAGATAGGCACTGTAATCACATCATTACAGAAATGGACATAATAAGCGGATCAAACCCGTTTTTGTGCACAATATCTTGACATATCAATGAATAACTCAGCACAATTTCAAGACATTACGTCAATGTTTGCAATCCATTCAGACCCTTGACTTCAGTATCTAGTGTGACCACCATGAGCGGCATTAACTGCAGCACAGCGTCTATGCATGGAGTGCACCAATCGATTTATGAAGGCCATTGGCACCTGGAACCACACTCTGAGAAAGGCCTGGCGCAATAAATCGGCTGTGTTCGGCCTTGGTATGACATTATTCAGTCTCTCCTGAATTTCATCCCAAGGATGTTCAATTGGGTTTAAATCAGGACTAAGGGCTGGCCAATGCACAATGTTGACACCGTTCTGCTGTAGGAAGTCCCGTGTAGCTCTGGCAGTATGGGCCGGGGGGTTATCCTGCTGGAAAATGTTGTTCCGGTGACGTGCGAAATGTGGTATGACGTGGGGTATGAGAGCTTGGTCGATGTAGCGCACCGCTGTGATGCCGCCTCCTCTCCCTGGACCAAGGTTCTGGAACACCACAGGACCCACTCTCTGGTTCAGGCCTATTCCACCCCATACCATGATGCTTGCACCTCCCCATGAGTTTCTTTCCATAACACATTGGTCTGAGTAACGCTGGCCACGTCGTCGCCATATTCTTGTTCTGCCATCTGCAGCTGATACGCAGTACCGACTCTCATCTGTGAACAGAACAGTTCTCCATTGCCTGTATCGCCAGTTTTGGTGTTGTAGGGCAAACTGTAGACGTTCACGCCGATGACGAGGGGTGAGGATAGGTCCACGGTAAGGTCTACGGTAATGGATGTTCGCGCTGTTAAGACGTCGGTGTACTGTATCAGTACTGATTGATCTTCCCTGTGTTCCCACTGTCTGGCGTGCTGTTTCGGATGCCTGCATGAAGGGATTCTGTACATGCTGTCGCACAACATGGCGGTCTTGTCGTCTTGTGGTGGCCCTTGGTCTGCCAGTACGGGGGCGATCATTTGTGGTGTTGGTGGCCCGGAAACGTTGCTGCAGCCTGTAGATGGTCCGAACGTTGACCTGCACGGTTTTGTGCAGTGTGGCCAGCTTCAAGTCTTCCTAGCACTTGGTTCCTCTGAGCTGTCGTGAGTCGCGGCATCCTGCTGACGTTGTAATGTGAATGTTTCAACCAGGTTTACGGGGTGCATTTTATAGGGCTGGTCCTTGTGAACAGCACGTGCAGCATGAGTTGCATGAAAAACATGGAGAACATCGTACCATCTCCGAGATCAGGTTGCGTTTTTGAGACCATTTCCTGAGTTCAATTCTGAGTTGGGGAAGGAATGTCTTGCTCAGGTAAAGTTGGAGATATTGTCAAAAATATACAATCAAAACATTAAATGAGTTTACAGTTATCCGTTTCTGCGAAGGAAAATTCCAAACTGACGTTTCTCTTGCTGCTTAGTATATATTCCTTTGTTATGATAAATATCAAGTTCAGAACATCATTGCGTTTTTCATGAAAGTCTAGGAGGAATGTTCTCGGATCCAGGTTTATAATAGTGACTGTTTTGTTTTCAATTCAATTTAAAATGTATTGCCACAACCTATTTACATATCTGCATTCAAACATAAAATGAACAATGGTTTCTTTTTCAGTATTGCAAAAAGTACATTGTGGTGATTCTATTATATAATAATTGTATAGATCTATATTAGTTGTGAGAATTCTGTGGACAATACAATATTGAAACCATATTTCCTTAGTGTTATGAAAAGCTCTAAATGGTATAAAATGATAGGCAGTCCATAAGTCAGGTGGAAAATTGCGATGAAGGTCTAGATCTTTTTCCCATTTACATTGATATCCTAAACTTAGAATAGAGTTAGCCTTGTTTACTAGCATTGTGTAGAAAATATTGGGGCCTTTCTTATTTTCATGGAGTATTTTTACATTCGGGGGAAATAAAGGGTAAATTGCTTTGCTCTGTCAATATTGTAGCTTCTTGCTTTGAATATTGTTTTATTGAAAATAATATTCCCGCATATTCTAAGAAAGTTGTCTCTACTCTATACATCTCTTTAAACTCAGTGAAAAACAGAAAGGATTCATCATCTTTTAACACGTCATTTACAAATTTTACATTTGCTTTTAAGTAGTGTTCATATAATATAGTGAGTGAGTGAGTGAGTGAGTTTAGTTTTACGCCGCACTCAGCAATATTCCAGCTATATGGCGGCGGTAAGTAAATATCGAGTCTGGACCAGACAATCCAGTGATCAACAGCATGAGCATCGATCTGCGCAATTGGGAACCGATGACATGTGTCAGCCATGTCAGCGAGCCTGACCACCCGATCCCGTTAGTCGCCTCTTACGACGAGCATGGGTTACTGAAGATCAATATTCTAACCCGGACCTTCACGGGTTTCATATAATATAGATTTGTTTCCAATTCATTGTATATTGTTATTTGCCCAAATATGCTGTTTGCAAAAGTAAGATTTCTTATAAGGGTATCCTTCTTGTAAATCAGCCGAAGCTTCCAGAAAATCTTTCAAGAAAAGGTTTCTAAGTTTTGTGATGACGTGTTGAAACAGATAATTTGAGCCCATTTCTATTGGGTTTATCTTTTAATTGAGACGCTCTTATCAGGGAAGTTGTGAGGAGCATTTCTGTAACTAGTTCTGATGCGTTTTTATGTAGCCCGAATTGAGGTGCTCTTATCGAGGACGTTGTGAAGAGCATTTCTGTAACTAGTTCTGAGGCGTTCTTATGTTGCCCGTATTGAGGCGTTCTGTTCAAGGTAGTTGTGAGGAGCGTTTCTGTAACTAGCTCTAAGGCGCTCTTATGTTGCCCGTATTGAGGCGTTCTGTTCAAGGTAGTTGTGAGGAGCGTTTCTGTAACTAGCTCTAAGCCGCTCTTATGTTGCCCGTATTGAGGCACTCTTTTCGAAGTAGTTGTGAGGCACGTTTCTGTAACTAGCTCTAAGGCC